CCGTCTGTTTCAGAGCCTTCTGAAGAAGCACTCGCTTTTCTTTTTTCCCTTTTTTTTTTTTTTTTTTTTTTTTAAACCACTAAATGAAAGCAGATATTCTTCTGCTCTCACTTAACTTGCATTTGAGTCTGAAGAGGAAAAAAATGTGGCAATACTCAAGTACAAGAGCTAGCAACATTATACCAATTGTTTGCTTGTGGTATCTAAAATGTAAGCTTTTGCACCTCAATTCCCAACTTTCAGGGTGTTGGCACCTTTGCAAATTTGAATTCTAGTCTTCTCCATGTGCCTCAGTCCACACAACCACCTCTTCCTCCAGCAGGTGGAGATACAAATACAATGAGAATTTTCAGGTTAAAAAACCCCACTGTGCTCTACAACCCTGCAAAGAAATGGATAGGACCAAAATTTATAGTACTCAGATCTCGCTCCTCTATTGCCTCTTACCTTTATTAATAGCTGTATAAGGTTTTAATAGATTAAAACACTACCTTGCCTCAATGACATCTCTTGTTGAAGCATGACTTGACAAAAAGAAGTGAAACTAATGTCATTAGTTAGGATGTTAAAAGAGAAACTAACAAAATGTACCACCAAAACAAATTCCTTGTTACTAAAAAAACCTGCAACAAGCCACACAGATAAAATACTAGAAAAGAAAACATCAGGACATGTCAGCTAAGCAAAGACCTCTCTCAGAGTATCTGACTGGTAACACCACTTGTCTGCTTTTAAACAAACTTAATTGAACTTTTGATCTCTCACCCATAATTCAGTTCCTTCAAGTTTAGGTAAAAAATAGCCAGAGATACTATAGGTCCTCATTGTAGGAAAAGCATTTGCAGGAGCACCCAGGCATTAGACTTTGGAGAATTAGGGTTGGGGGGAAGCAGTTATAAATGCAACAACCACTGGGAAATGATTCAATTGGAGCTCATGTCTTAAAGTCCTGACACCAATCTGCTACTTACAGACTTTCTTGGTTTTAATGTTTTGATACTCTTTGCCTTCTTTCTTAGTGTTAAAACTACATTATGTGCATTTTATAGGAGAAGACAATGACCCAGAGGTTGTTTGAGTTGCCAGCTCTATCAATGCAAACGAGCGGCAGATCCAGCGTTTTGAATGAAGCACTCTCAGACTTCCAACCCTGCCCACGAGCACATGTCCTCCTACTAGACCATGCCTGCAGTCTACTCCTTTGTGCTATCCTGCATACAAGTTTTAATATTCATTCAAAAATCACGCTGAAGAAATGCACCACTACAATCACGTCCTCTAGACTGAAGCACAGACTGCAATCCCAGGGTTTATTGTGCATGTGGATTATTTTGAGTGGCTTGTGCACTGACTCACAATCAAGAAATGGCCTAAGCTCTTACCAAGCTATTTAGACAATGAAAGAAGAAAGATACAAAACAGATTCCACGGCCAAAAGATGACTCACAGATCATCTGTGGTACTTAGTCATTCTGAATTAGGGGACAAGTGGATTTGGCCCCAAAGGATGTTTCAAGTTCCTGAGGATATTGGATGGTGACAGATAAACCAAACACCCTGCATCCTGTTTTATTTATCCCCACTGCAGTCTAACTATCTTGTAGATCTGGCAGGTCTTCTAGAGTTTCATAGAGTTCTATGTTTTCTTTTAGACACTACTCTGTGTAACCATTATTTAAATACCAGAGAAGGGGAAGGTGTACTTCTCTTCAGAAAAGAAATACAGCAAAGCAGAGGACAATACAGGGCATCTCTCAACAGGCACTGGGAGGCTACTAGGTCACTGAATACTCAAACTTTTGACAGCATTGTAAATGTATGTGGCATGGCAGTAGAGAAGAGAGAAAATGTGGCTGTCTTCCCAGCGACCTTATGAACTGACAGATGGGATAGCAGTTCACAGTTTCATACTTTGCTTTTCCTAACATGGATGTTGGGGGCAAAGGGGGGGATAAGCTTCCCAAAAGAATCTGAAGAGATGTGAAGGACAACACTCTGAATGCCATTCCATGCACAAAGGAATGTGCGCATTCCAGTCATCCCAAAAAACCCAAATTCCTCAAAGTTATCCGAGCATTTCTTAATCTCCTACACATGGGAAGCCTGCATTTTGCTGTGATTCTCTGGTCAGAATTCTTTAGTCATCGTCTGCTTAGATTACTCTGCAGCGCAGCATCGCCCATCAGCACTGCCAGGTGCTCACTCGCTGGCTGCTTGAACCGGGCACCATGAGGAAGCTGGCGCAGGAGCTGCGATGTTCAGAAGATTCAATCTTCTCCTCAGACCTTGGCAAGCTGGTCTCTGTTAACTCCACATCTGCTGCAGGGAGGTGGCAGCAAGTCTTCCCTAGCTCCAGCTTGCTCTCAGGCCAGTGACCTTAAAGAAATGGGGGTCCTCACAGACCATGGTACCAGGGGCTATGTAATTATGAAGAAATATGGGAGAAGCACTTGCTAGAGATGGCACAGTAACATTATATTAAAAATCCAACTATTTTCCATGCTGCTAAGAAGTAACTCCTTTTTCTATGAAAGGCCAGAGGAAATTTGCTGGATTACTATTGGGAATATAAACGCATTTTTAAACAAAACTAGGTATCAATCCCAGAGGCTATCCCCCATTTTGCATCCTTACCCTTAGAGATCTGCCTAATCCAGGAGTCAGCCTGGGCTGATAGCCAGTGTTCTTCCATTACAGGTTAAGCAATCTTATCAACAGCTGGGTCACCAAGTGTAGCAAGTGCAGGACTAAGGAAGTGACAGGGCCTGTTAGAATAAGATTTCTTGAATGAAATGATACACTGATGATGGCTCTTAATTGAGAGACTTGATACCCATTTAAGGTTTGATTGTCAGAACGTGCTGGAAATGTCCAGTCCAACTTTATCACTTACTTTCCCAGCAGGATCCCTGATATTCTGGTTTTAACCAACACTGTGTAAGAGGCTTTGTTCACTGCTTTACCTTAATTTTGAAAACTTTGACTTTGGCACTTACATGAAGTCTGAAGCTGACAGCTTGATTGCTGCCACCACCTCTTATTTTCTCCAGGAACATGAGCAGAATCTATCTGTAGCATATGATGCAGTTCTCCACATGGCCTCTTGGTTAACTTCCCCATGGAGAGGACATTAGAAAGCAGAGTCTTAACACAGGTTTTTGAGCCAAGAGCTGCAGTAAGCATAAACAGTATTCCCTACAGGGGTTTTTACCACACTGTCTTTGGGACATCTCTGCACTTTCGGTACAGAGACACTGGAGCTGGGTTAGTATATGGTAACCAAGCACTAAAAATGTCAAGAGCATGGAGCAGACACACAGCTGCACCAGCTCCAACTGGAGCCTTAACTAGCAACTTAAAAAATGCACTTTTTGATTGCAGTCTACAATCAAAGGTAAACTACAAATTTATCTTTCTGGTCTACAAGTCAAGGTAAACTATTGAGCATGCAAAGCAGCTCAGCTCTATGGCTGGTTGAAGATAAAAATGTAAACTCTGCTTTGAACTCCTGCTGCCAGGCTGCAGAAATGAAGTTTCTGTTCACAAGCTCCTACTGTTATTCTCTGAACTGCACTAACTCTGGCCCAGTTTTCAAAAGACAAGAGACATAGCCAGCGCTCGTAGAAATATGAGATACCTGAGCCTGCAAGATGCAGGCTTCTAGAGGAGCCTGTTATTTGGAAGTTGCATCTGGAGTGGAAATGCCTCATGTTTAAGTAGAAGGAAGGGGAAGTCCTGGAGTCTCTTACTGAGGAGCAATCTCCACAGCTGCAAGAAGCACTTGTGGTATTGGAGGCATCAGTCAGGGAATGAGGCCTCCAACCTTTTTATCAGGGCACAGATTGGACTGAATGGGAAACAAGGAAGCCCAAGTCAGCAACAGTCTCCTTGGTTAATGCAAAGAAGATGAAAAGCCTAAGTGTCTAGGAGGTAGAGCTCCCAAACTGTAACCCTCCACCCCTGTCCCCCACCATCAATCCTCCAGGCAGGCTGCCAAGTCTTTAAGCCCCGCTGCCAGGAAGCTGGGAAGTCAAGCTAATAAGAAACCGGACAGTTTTTTCAATAAAATACCTTGCTAAAACTAGGACGCTTTTGCAATTTTGCAGAGGATGCTGAATCAGCACACTTACACACAACATCCTTGCAGGGGAAATTTCTCCCCAGACCACTGGTACGCTTAGTAAATCCTAGACAGTTAGCCAAGGAGACATGGAGATTTCTCTCAATATAACATACTTTTAAAAGGCAAAGAAAGATCAAGAAATTAAAACCGCTTGGGATTAACACTGCTCTAACGAATGAGTTCATACCATCTCTGCTCCCAAATTAGGCTGTTGCTTTAAGCACCACAGCTAAACTCATTATATATTCTTACCAGCAATATGCCATTAATATCAGACGTGAACAGATATGCCTTGCCCTGCACAACAGGCGATGGTTTTTTTTTCCATTTTAAAATATTAATTCCTTTGTAATACAGAAAATTTTAAGAGTTTTAAAGCATTCATAAAGTGTCATGAAAAAGGCAATATAACTAATCAGGAACAGCAAAAACGGAAACAAGATTAAGATATTGCAATTTAATTTCCGAGAAAATAATGTGCCACCAGCTGTGTAAACTTTCTTGTAGCTAAAACAAATATTCTGAAAACAAGCAGGCAGCTGATTTACACTGTAGCATGTTTCCTCAGCAGTCAAGCCTCCCAAGGAAGCTCTTGAGTTGTCTCTTAGACTGTACAAAGGCTTTAAAAATAGCCATACAACAAACTCATTTGATATGCAGGATTCTGAGCAATCTTTAATTTTTACGTTCAACTCATTAACCCTGAGCTCCTGCTGACACAGCTAGTACTCCTGCCACATATGCTATATGCTCCCTGAATGTAACAAATAACCAGCACAGCATGCACTATTCTTCTGACATACCAGACAAGACACATGCAGACTCTAGCAGCTGGACTTTTTGGTTTTGTCTCCTGAAGAGAGAGGTGATGGCCTACCTGCTGATTCCAGTAACAGGCGCCATGCATTCTGTAGAGTTTCCTCTTCTGGAAACTATGAAGTGGCCTTGTTCGGGCAGATGTGCTCACATTAGCCACGGAGAGAGATCTTAGTCTTGTCCTGTCTCTTCTTCTTTTCTTGATGTGCTGATGATCAAGCAACCAGCTGCTCGAAGAGGATACCTCCCTGTTGTCTGAAGCTCTGCAATTTCATGATTAATGGAGGAGGAAATACAAAAAGTTAAATATGCTCCACATGCACAGACCAAGATTTCATACACCGATTAGTATTAGCTATCTAATTCTAAGAGAATTTTATAAACACTAAAATGTTTCAGCAAACCGTTTCAGGAAACCATGTATATGCTTTGTTTGCTTTTTGAGTAATTGTATGTTAAGTCACAAAAGGAAGTTTATCGTTCTTGTTCACTTTTCTGCTCACGGAAACAAATGTCAAAATGAAGTTAAGCCCTCAAAAGCATGTAATGGTTTTTGGGTTTTCCAAATTCAAGAACTCTCTTTCTAACACTTCTAACACCTGAGTTTTAAGTTACAATCAATATTTCCCTACAAACTTACATTCCATTCAAGACAGCAGTCATGCTAACACAAAGGAGACCTAGAGTCCTGCCCTACTACTTTTGAGTTTTTCTAGTTTTGCTCAAGAACTGAAACTTAAGTAAAGCTTTACAAACCAGAGTCCATTCAGCGTAGGGGTTGCAACTCACTGTGAAGCATTTGTATCAAAATTAGGAACTCTGCACACTTAGTTTAACTAACACAAGGCCATTAAACTTCATTTCCAGGGACGTGCCAATAGAGCTCTCCAAAAGAGCCCAAGCCCAGCCTGGGGGAAGCTCTTGGGGAGGAGGGAAAGCCTAGTCTGTTTGTCTGTCTTTAAGACCTAGAAGCTGGTTAGACCCAGATGATTTGGAAGAATGCAAGCTCAGCTCCAGTCACAGTGTGACAGGGTCTACATGGACACATGGAAAACTTCATTTTAACATTAAATCTCAATCTTACCTGCATTTCCCCAAGTCTATCCCTTTCAAATCCCCCTCAGTGTTATAGCATCATCCCTCCACAACCTTACCTACATGCACACTTGCTGTACTCGTGTCCTTAGTAATACAGTATGCAATCACAAAAGTTATGTGACAACACAGGGCCTTATTAGCAAAGTTACAACACACAATAAAACGTGAAAATGAATTTATTACAAGGCCATTTATCAATCTTTTTTGACATGTAGTGTTCTTCTAACAGTACATTTTACTAAATAGAAGTGCTTGTTATGAAAGTGTGATTAAACACCATCCCATGCTGTGCTGGCGTGGTAATAAAGCCTTATGGGCACAAATTTGAGCTGTCCTTCTGACACATCAGAACAATCCCAATAAGCAACACAGACTCTATGAAAAAAAATGTGCTAATTAAGAGGGATGATACAATGTATTTAAAGGAACATATTAGTAAGTGCCAACAAAAAGCCTCAAAATACTCAAGCACGACATTCTTAATGCTAACACCAAATTTTTAAGGCTTGAGAAAGAAAGACAACGTTTAAAGTCCACGCAAAAATTTTCTTAAAATACTCTCTCTGAATTCTCAAAAACATTTTCTCTGTAATTATCTGCCTCGAAGTCAGATGGTGCCAAGCCCAACTTCTAGACTTCCACATACCTCCCTTTTACATGAAAGACAACTTGGACAGGTAAATTAGAACAAAAAGCTCCTGTCTGGCTCTTCAACTTCTGTGATTCCCGCCTTTGTTCTGGTGGTTTGCCCTGGTCTTTGACAATCTCTCTTCAGCCTCTGCCAGCTGCCCTATTTACCCTCTTGTGCCTTGCAGTAATGCACAGCTCCGTTTTCAGATGAAGCAGAGATTTTAGCTCTGTGGCTTAGAGCTCCAGTACACAGCAGTATGGTTTTCCTGCCACTTGTGTAAATAGGCTTCCCAGTCAAGGTTTGAGTTACTCATTTATTTTGATGTTAGGTCAGGTGTATTTCAAACTGTGATTCTACAGAAGAGCGGAGATGAACCATCACCAGATGTAAAATTCACAAATTTGCTGAAACACTCATTTCAAAGCTCATAGGTTGGCCTTTCTTGCACTGTAGCCTAGCTAAAGAGCAGAGACCTTACTCACAGATACACACATGCACAGCAAGCCATCAGACAGACACTATTTGTACCGAAGTAATGAACTTCTTCATTCCTCTCTCCTGATAAAAAAGTGGTTATCACTAGCTTAGGGAACTGCTTCTATGAACATTTACCTTCAATGCATCTAGCTAATCTTGGCATCTAGATTCAACTGAGCAAAGAAAAGCTACACAGAAAAAGGAAGCCACTAATGAAATTAGACCTTGACAAATGGCAATTCAAGGTTACCCACATTTCATCAACTGGGAACGGTACATGCACCACCACTTCCACTGGGTATAGCCCAAGTAACTAACCGTACTGCAACCCCATGATTACCAACCTCAAAGCACCTCACGCTTAGACCTACTTTAAACATAGACTATTGTATCTTTCACATCAAGAGCCTGCAACTACTTTCTAGAATTTACTTAAGTAAAAATTGTTATCATCCCTTTTTTTTTTCCTCTTCAAAAACAAAAAAATCACCTTACTTTCCATTTGATTTTGATTTCTACTTTTTCAAGTACTTAATACAGTCAGAGTGAGCTCCAGAAAGAGTGAGGGGAGAAGCAGCCAAGAAATGAAGTTAACTGTATAGAATCATAGAATCATAGAATCATTGAGGTTGGAAAAGACCTCTAAGATCACCGAGTCCAACCGTCAACCCAACACCACCATGCCCACTAAACCATGTCCCTAAGCGCCTCATCTACGTATATAACTGTCTCAATTGCACACAAAACTACTACAATAACAAAGTACAACAAAAAACTGAAACACACTCGAAAAACCAAGAAGTAGGAGGCAGTGAATTTCCCTGAAGGATTCTCATGATAACCACTCTATATAGTGCTTAATTACCATCTTTAATGAACAGTATTTATTTGCAGATTTCAAAACACTTCACAAGAAGCAAAAAATTAAAATTAACTATTTAACTGATTTTTAAGATGACATCTAGAAAGGTCTCAAGTCTCTCAGATACCCTTCCAACACCTAACTCACCAACTCCAGTTTAGAGCTACAGCACTGAGAAAATCTTCAAAGTCTTCCCATTATTCTTTGGGCTTTTCTAGGTCACGAGTAGAAAACAACCAGCCTTAGAGAGAGTGCTCTGTGAGCAAACAACTGTGTTGCTCATAAAATGGAAAGAGGACTGATTTTGGACAGTGTCTGATAAGTCAGAAGAGAAGTGGTTTGAAGTTACATCATTAGAGTCCCTCATCATGAAGTCAACTTCATACACTCCCAAAAACTTTTTTAAAAGCAAGAGCCCTTCCTCATCTGTTTCGTGAAAAAGTCACAGATTCAAGACACAGCCTTCTAACAGCCTAAATTACTCTCGTCTTCCACATACCCATCTCTATTAGCAACACCTATTTCAGTGGTATTTTTATTCCAAAACACAGAGGAATCTTCTGATTTTCCCCTACATTATTTGTAAACAACTGACACGTCAGGAGCATGAATGCTACGTGACAGGACCCCTTCATCCTTAAATTTAGGGCACAGTCACATAACCACTTTGGAACACACAGCAGTTAAAGAAGCTGCCCATCCAAGCTGCTCATTATAATCTGTTTGTGGGAGGCTACAGCCTCTGCAGCAAAGCTGCTGAAACAGATGGTGTGGCCAGCTCTTCTTGGAGCCCGGAGCCAGGGAATTACGTTCTATTGCAGAGACTGCCATAAACCCCCCAGCTCTAGTAGGGAACACTTTCTTCATCCACCTGATCTTAACGAAGACCCATGAATAACAGCAATCCCTCCATCCTCAAAAATCACATTACCAGTATCTCAGGAGAACTATCCTACATACCTAGCTCTTTTGTAAGACAGGACTGTAGTCAATTACCTTAATGCTGTTATGAGACTAATACTGATTACAGCCTGTACTATATTTTAAAATCTTTGAATAAAAGATGGAATTACTAAGAAATATGGAGGAGTAGTACTGAGAAACATTTTTCTACAATATTAATTTTGAGCTGCTACAGTCATCCTGGAAGGTATATCCATCCAGAACAAGAGACCACAAATGGAAAAATATTATCTCTAAATTCCTGAAAAAGTAGCTGGCAAAGATAAATTTGGTGCTATATTGAAGACTGATGTGCTTAAAATTAAAGAAGCTGCCACAAAAAACTAACATTGACCCATGCTGAGGCACAAGTAACATTGCTTAAGTATTCTACTAATCTAGTAAAGTCTAGTTCGTCGCTTTTTCAGAAATAAAGTTGCATTCATGGTTACAGAATGTCAGTCTGAAATTTCAGAAGTTGTGTTATTTACCGTATCCTTTCACTACTTCACAGATATATTCATCTTCCCAGTACTTAAATGTACTTACATTGACTGCATAATTTTATGATGTCTTTAAGAACAATACAAAACCCTACTACTTTCAGCCTTACAAGCAAGACTTGACTTCTCTTGAAGCTTGCAGAAAGCAGCTCTCTTTTCCTGATTTACTACCGTAATGATTATCAGTTCCATCTACATAACTTTACCAAAAGTTATTTTAAAAAAAAATGCTACCGTACTATCACCTACCTGAAGGAGATGCCATTGACCAGCTGTCTGTGCCTACAGGTCTTGGATGAAAGAGATGAAGAAGCTGGAGACAGATTGAGTGGAGCAATTAGGCTGCTGATGATTTCACTCAGTTGCGCACTCTGGGGGAAAAAAAAAAAAAAAAAAAAGGTAGTCAGTCTTTTATACAGACTCAACAGCTCAAAGGTCCTGGTTTTTTTATTGTTTTCCTACTTAGGATTCCAATTGCGTACATCATGGAATAATCAAATTTAGTGTTTTCTTGTGAATAATCAAGAGTGGCATCTTTTTTCTTTCACAATTATGTTCAACTATACAAAAAAACCCAAAAACAACAAAACAAACACATAAAACCAACACAACCCTGAACAACCAGCCAAGGACATCGTTTATACATTTGAGTAAGAAGTGATTACACATTAGTGATTTTAGTATTTTAAACAGAGGTTTTTAAAAAGGTAAGAGAAACCAGAATAATTCACAGCTGATGTTACAACAGCTGTTAGCAGCCCAGAGCTGCTAACTGGCCATTCAACAAGCATTTCACCAGGGGAAAAAAAAGGTCTGCTGTCTACTCATTGTATATTTTGTTCACTCGAAGTATTTTTCTTGTTAAAAGAATCCTCTTCAGTGCTCACTGTAGTTTGACAAAAGTGTTTTTACAAAAGGAAGTGTAACTACATGAGGACTATTGTAACTACAGACAGAATGGCTAAAAATCTTCTGGTATCCTCAAAAATAGCAACAAGAAGTGCACACCCCACCAAAACCTGCACTTTCAGAACTGCCCCAAAACAAATGTAGCTAATTTGTTAAGACTAATAATTACCCTTTATAAAGCAATGAATTGTGGGCTGACTCCAGATAATGTTTCACAATGATTTTTTTGTTTTAAATGTCAAACCTTAAAGGCTATTCTGACAACAAACATAGTTTTCTTAGAGGAAACTGTGTGCTGCACACTAAATAAATGAAATGTATCTGAAATGGCATACAGTTTTTTTTAAACTTTTAAATTATTTTGTAGGATTTTCATTCAGGACTAAGATTGCTTAAAACAAGAATTGCTGAAGATTACGCAGGAAGTTTGCTTTACGTTTTGAGGCACTACCATTTATGCAGAAAGAGGCAGAAAAAAATTATTTCCCATTTTATTACAACTCACGTCTTTCCTGTTAATGTTTAAGTGATACAGTCAGGTAAAAATTTCATGTCAGAATAAAATATTCAGGGATGGATATTAAAGCACAGAAATAGCAAGTCAATTATAAAAGGTCTGGACAAAGCAAACAAGATGCCAGTAAAATATTTAGCAGATTGATTTAAAAATCTCAACAGAATTCAATCTGTAAGGAGCAAAGTCTCTACTGAATATAAAAGCACCAAAACAACAGCAGACTCCCAAAACACAAGGAAAAACATATATGTTTTTAAAACATTGCATAGCTATGAAAAGGACTTGAAAACAGTAATAATAAAAATTGCCAGGCTCAGTCACTTTGTATTCTTGATGAATTTCTTTTGTTCACAAGTAAAATTATTTATTTTTAACAAAGAAATACTTTAACATAGGACTGAAGAATTCTGTGGGAATATCTGTGGATGTACTTCAGCCTACAGCATCACTACGCCTGACACTGAACAAGAAGAAACTCAGACCTTCAGAGTTAAGGTTGATTTACAGAACTGATAGTCAAAAAGCAAATCAAACCTCAAAGCTTTTCGTGGTGTAAAGGGAAGAAATCTGATGTAATCTGTGAGATGTGTTAAATGAAGAACACCTTTACTTCCAAGTAATTTTCATATCATCAAAGTTCTTGGACCTCTGTTTGTAGCTACTTAGGGACCAGGAAACACGCTACTATTACTTTAACTGTCAAATGTCTTACTGAAAAGTGCATTTAATTCTCCAAGTAATCACTTAAATAGGGGACATTCACCACATTCTAAAAATGCTCTTTGGTTTACCTTGTGCAATTGCCAGCACTGCACACATAAATTTCCTGTTTCATTGCTTCCTCACTCCTGTCTGTTGCGGATAAGATCTATCAAACAGGGGAAGCATTTTAAGAACAGGAAAGTATGACTATCAAATAAGAAAAATTGGCACAGAGATTCAGGAACAGGCTTTAGTACCTAAAGCTACTTTTACCCCATTTAAAAAATGTGTGTATGACCAAGAATTTATGTACAGCAGCAGAGCAACATATTAATGCACCATACTGCCTTTGTCAGGTTTGCTTTACGCTACCTGCATGAATTTATCTTGAAAACAAATTTCCTGTATCTCCTTCAGCAATGTGATCCTACCACATTCTTTATGTACTTTCTAGCAAAAGAAAACCCTGCTGGAGTCTGTATCGTATTTCCTGGAATTAACCTTGGAAATGACTGTTTTGAACACCATGAACCGAAACTCCGCTCACAGCTACGCCTACGCTATGCCTGTTAAGTACCTGGAATTCCTCAGCTCCTAACTGGAGTCCTATGATGCTTGAAAAGGCAGACCAACAATTATATTGTGTTGGGGCTTTTTTTTTTTTGTTTCAAGTGCAACATACCTCCATCTTCAGCTGTACTCTTTCATCTCATGTAAGTATTTCCTGAAACAATCTATGGCAACTCCACATTGAACCTAACTATAAAGGAGAGGCAGGTTTGTGGATAGCTATTAGAAGTGGTTATGTGGCCGCTTTGATGGAAAAAAAGCGGTAACACAGACACGTCAGAAATAAAAGGTTAATTTGTAAACTTGGTGTACGATGTAGTTATTTAAGCCCTTCAATTCATCAGCACCCGCTCTCGGGGCTGTGAAATATCTTCCTTTTTGGAAGCCATCACCAGGGAACCTGCCCTATTTCTGAAGTTGGCTTCATTGACCATTCAGTTCTTATTTTACTTTACCTGTTTTTCTATGTTTCGTAAAAGCAGGGTAGGACTGCTGGGTGACATTTCAAAGTCATGCTCCGGCAAAGAATCCTGTCTCTCAACGGCAGCTTGCGAATTCCCTGTGGCGTTTAATAAAGCTTCTTGGTCTGTCAATTGTATTTGCTTCTTCAAAATGTCTTTTGGAAATGGGAATTCTTCTAAGATCACCATCCCCTAGACAACAGCAATTGAACACAGTTGGTTGACAACGGATTAACCCTCCTAAATAATTTTTAAGGGGCAGTCAAACCTGGCACATCCCCCTTAAATCCTCCCAGCATCTCTTTGGAGCACTTAAACTACATTTTAAATACACTTAACAGCTAAAATACAGAAATAGTAGGTATTTTCATTAATGAAAAGCTGCACCAATTATGCTACTCCTTATAACAGCAATCACTCTAGTGTTATACGACTACTTAAACATCTGTGCCAAAATTCAAATCAGAAATTCATACTTATTAGAGCAGTTATATGATCATTTTCCCGCTGATTTAAGAAGAGGTCTTTCTCTAAGAAACAACCGCCCTTTGGTTTGAAGTTGGTTATAGTCTTTGCAGCCAATAAATTTCATGTAGGCATTTTGAAGTGCTCTATTTTTCTTATTCCTATCCATGTTCTAAGCAAAACATCAAGGTTGTTATTTTTTATGTAGCAGAGATGGATACAATTCAAAACAAAAGCCTTTTACAATTTAATAATTGATTTTTCTTAAGGTGAGCATTTTTAGAGTTTCATAATTACAGAGGTAACGATCCCAAATATTCTAGCAATCTCATTGCTTTTCAAGACAATCTGCACAAATGTGGTATCAGACATGGTCTATCGTCTAGAATGTCATAACTTTATATGGTAGGGAAATAACAGAGTTTCATAAACGGAACTAGGAAAAGAATACCCCCATTGTGTTTTCCTCATGACAGATTAGAAAAATAAAAGTGTCAAATACAATCCTAGGTAACATCTCAGTTGATTTGTTGTAACAACTTAAAATGTTAAACAAAGTAATAAGCAAAAATAACTTTGTAACAGTCAAAAACAGTTCCTCAAGTAGTCCCTTAATTTGTCATTATCTTGAGCAAATAAATTTAATACTCAGAAAAGGCTATCAAACCTCTGCAGGCTTTTTCCAAAGAGAAAGGGAAAGAACTTGCTTGCTTTTAAGTACTGACTGTTACTCAAATATCAAGCAGATATTGAAAGAATGGGACCATTCAATTACACTACCTCAAATTTTTCTTTCTAGTGAGAATATTCCACTAAAAAGCAATGGAAGATTGTTATCACGTGAACACAAGGAACTCCTATATTATTTCTTTTAGCAAGACAGACTTCACCTAGGTTGTGGCTATGGAAAATTAAGGATCCTGTAGTTTTACTCACACCTTAAGTCCTGCCTCAGCAGCAACTTGCCCTAAAACATGAAAGCAAGTCTCAAAGAGACTTCAAAGAGGAGCCTAGGAGAAAACGTGAAATTGCCCTGTTCTCATTGAGTCTCTCACTTATTCCCCTGTTTGAGTTATAAATTCAAAGCTGAGAACAAAAATACTCTCTAAAAACAAACGTAGGTCCTTGAAAACTTGCTTTAGTGCCTAGAAGAGGCACAGAGATTCTGAGTTTCCATCAAGTCAACACTAGATTTTCGACATTCATTAACAGGTAGTAGCCCATCATCTGTGCTTTTCCATTTACAGCAGATGGAAACGAATCCAGACAGTATCATACTACAATCTGTAGACCAACAGCAGTTACAAAGTAGGCAGTACGTTCAAGGAAATTCAAGTATAGAACTAATTTCTATGTGCCACAACAGAAGGACAAGCTAGCTCAATAGCTTTAGACTCTTTTACAATTTAGAATCTTTAAATCTTTTTAGTAAAAGAATCATAGGTCATGACCACAGAGAGAGCAAAAAAAATAACCCATAAAAGTCTAAAACACAAATTCTGAAGTCAGAGGAATAGGAAGACACACAGGAAAAGTGGTGAAAAGAGGGGGGGCCACTCCCTCCCCCTCCCCCAAATTTTAAGTTGCAGAATCCTGTTGACAAGCACGGAAAGAGGAAAGCAGAAAAGGAAGGAGAAAATTGACAGACTGTATGAAAAGGGTAACCAAAAAGGGTAACCGGTAGGTTTTGGCAATGAACTACCTCCTCTCCCCCACCCTTAAATGGAATTGTTTTGTTTTGCAGATATACATTTTTTAAATGGAAGGACTCTCAAAGACCCAGAGCTGCCACTTCTGTGTGCACAGAGATGGAGAAGACACAATGTAGTAGGGCAGGAAACTGCCCACAAATTAACCCTCTCCCTTCCTATTGCATTATAGTGTTAGAGGAGCGGCATTTTGCTTGGAATCATCGTTCACTGGCTATAAATCACTTTTTTTTCTCCACTCAAAACACACCAAAAACACTCTGAAACCATTAAACACAGCATACAAATTCTAATGATATTGTGTAACTACTCTGCAGCCACTAAATGAAAACAAAGAGCTCCTCTATCAGCCCACGTGTCCTTCCATAGCTGCTGCACTGGTGTACTACAAACACGTATACAAAAAAAAATCACAGCCAAAGAAAATACGTGTCTACCTTCACTATGGGACACAATGCAAAATAGTGAGTATCACAGCTGGTAAAAGGGGCATGAAGTCTGCAAATGAATGTCACTAAAGATCTCCACCAGGAAGATGACTAGGCTCCAAGCCAACATACCACCTAATGTGAAGAAAATGCATGACTAAAAGAATGTTCTTTCTCTCATTTCTCTGTTATTTATTTCTCTGTGTTCTGCGGCTCATGAGACCTATGCCACCCTAAAGACTGATAGCTTTTGGGTATAACAGTGTGCATATACCTGGTATTTAGGATAACACTAAATTATGGGCATTCTCACCCTTCACCAAAATACAAAATCTCCTTTCAATTCCGTGGGCACAGAGGCAGGACAGACCCTCAAACAAAGGCTCTTCAATTATTTTTTAAAGAAAAACCTGACTGGGGAAAAGTTGTGAGCGGGAGAGACAAAGCTGGATATGAAAAGAAGGGCTTTGAGGGTGAAAGGAGAAGAGGGAATAATTTTTCTTTATGTGATCAGAGGGAAATACTCTCTGGGGCGATTTCCCTCTCCTTTTCAACTCCCTTTAAGTCTCACATTCAGCCACATAAAGTCTAAAGCATCTTCTGGCTCCTCTCCATCTGTGCTTATCTGGCCCCAGCATAGATCAGACAACCTACATGAAGCTCCTCAATGGAGAGTCAAAGATACCTCCTCTAAAACCCTCACTATCACACCACCAGAATTATCACAGCTTTTGGCTTCTTGCACATGAGAATGACCTGGGAAAACCATTAAATTGATAGATAGATTATTAATGTTTTAGGAATGTGACTTTCCCACTGTCTAGCCAGTTCGATTTACAAAAACTAGTACATGAGTTACACACATTGGAATTTTAGTAATAATTAATCCTTGACCTGTTCAAAGTGCTGTACAAACATTAACTAGCTAATCCTCAGAATAAACATGCACTGTAAATAACAAAAAAACCCACCCTGAAACCCCACAACACAAAAATGAATAACCAACCACCCCACCTGAAAACCAAATCTTGCCTCTTCTGCAGAGGGAAAAACTAGTGTGATAAATGCAGTACCTTGTGCTGGGCCCCTGAAAGTCACTAACAAAGTCACTATCACAGATAGGAAGGTAAGAGTTCCCGACTCCCAGTCCTGTACTGATGCCTCTAGGGTACAATACTTTTTAGCTCCTGATGTCTTTCTCATTAACCTTTGTATGTGATAGCCTGCGCAGACACAAGAACTCTAGGGCAAAACAAACAACAACAACAACAAGGAACCAAATAAATAAATATTACAAGAAACACTGTCAAAAGATTATTTGAAAAGCCCATTTATGAGCTTACAGACAATACCTTGGTGGCACGTATCTGCCTGTGAAGGTCAGTTAGTTGTTGGATTTTGTATTCTAGTTCTGAAATCTGGGCTTGAAGCCATGTCCAACGGCTGCCAATTCTAGCTCTGTCTGCAAGCCACTTCCATTCAGAAGTATAGCTGCTGTGAAGACAAAATGCTGGTTAGTCCAAAGATAAAGATAACCACATTTGCACAAGAACATTTTTGACAGCTGCTCTGCCTCATGTTGCAAGCATCTCAGTTGCTTTCAGAAGATATCTGATTATACCCATCCAGTTTCACATCAGCTTATTTGTGTAACTACAGAACTTGCCCAAACCAGTACAATCAATGTTCACCGGCTATTCCCAGGCTAAGCTAGTTTTCTGTTCTGTATTATAAAACCCAGAGCTGGAGAAACTACCAAACTATATCAGTTAATGCAGATTACAGATTTGTAAAGAATTCCAGTAACTCCACCAGCAAGAATCTGAATTCTTACACCACACTTCCTCCCACAAGCTTCCACAAATATCATTTGCTAGCAATTGGAATCTAATAAAACACCATCCAGCAATGATCAGCTAGATATCAAGTCACTGCCCAAAAAACCAACTAAGTAGTTTAGATTTCTTTTATTCAAGCTATTTTATAAATACAGCTGTGTCAGTGTAGTATAGTTAGGTCACTCTTACCACTGTTTACAAATAGGTGTATTTTGTAACACAAAAGATATGCCTCCCAGTACTTGACATTGTGATTAGCTTAACTTTATTATGCTAAATTCATCACTGGTATCAGCAAACTCTACCAAACCTACATATTAAATAAATGAATGACATAACGGTACCACTCAACAAATAATCTTAATATCCAGTAAGTTTAAGTAACAGAGACAACACAATGCAATATTTTAGTATGCAACTTCCACTAGTATCCTACCATTAATTGTGTTTGTTTATTTAAAGAAAATGACTGGTGTTTTTTTCCCCACTAAAATTGTCAAGTAGTTTGCCACAGCTAACTTAAAAGAACTGTAAAAACAAAATCAAACTTCTAAGGGAAAAGAAGTGTTGTTACTCAAGTTATTGGGATAACTACTGGATCTAAACCCTGGAGGACACTGTATGGTAAGTTTTGCACAGGCAGAATACGTGATCCTCTGTTCCCCAGGCAATGAAGAGTACTGAAGTATCACAAAAGACACAAGAAAAAGCAGATGCCAGTGAATCGGCATAGGAACATCACACAAGTGCAATTGTTTCATGCAGAATTTTGTGTCAACTACCTCAACAACGAAAGAAAGGTAATGCATCACCCTCCAGAAGATGCTAGACATGAGCATGAGCAGAGAATCACCACATTTGAGAACCCTAATGTTTTCATGGCAAAGACTATAAAACATAATATAACTCAAAAACTCAGAACTTTCAGTCTACTTTAGCTATCATAAATAGTAAGAATAGACACAGTCCCTGTAGGTTACCTCTACGATACATAATTTCCCCCTTTTTAACATAAATTATCTGCCCACATAATTTACAATCAGCTTAAATTCTCTCCTACACAAAGTGAACATATGAAATTAGACAGGAGATTGAAGTGTCCTGTTTAAATCCAGATTCTACGTGCAAGCAAATAAAGTGGATTACCATCAAAAAGAAACTCAAGAACTCTATAAATATATACCATAATAAATTGTTTACATTTTATGTATTCTATTAGTGATTTTGTCCTAGGAAAAAAGGCATATGAAGTCATCTTGTGAATATCCATTTTTCTGACAACCCCTTATTTCTCTTTGTTTTCCCACTAGCACCAGCACACAGTAAATAGCCCTGGTTACTTATGCTTTAACCAGGTCTTCTTGCCAAGAACTTCTCTGGGATTGACAGTTTTTATACGTTTGTGCTTCTGGAAGTCATAAAATACAGTTTGCGGGGAAAGGGGGGGATCCAAATTCCTAGTTGGCCCAAGTCAAGAGTTCAATTAAATAACGTGTTCACACAAGTGTGGTGGCTGGAATAGTTAGGATTTGTCTCGGGACCCTGGGATGGCAAAAAGCCACTCCTAAGAAAGAGCTGCTTAATGAAGCTGGAACAAATCCCTTAGTTAATGATTTTAATAAAAAAAGTTAAATAGGAATAAAGAGGATAACAGAGAAAAACCCAACAGGAGTGTTGAGGTGCCTATTTCTATTCCTTTCTCAAAAGACAAATGAACAAACAAACAACAAAACCCCACAAACAAGGACATTGTAACAAGAAATCCCAGGTGAAAGAAAGTAAGTCATACTGACAGAATAACCTCCCAAGCTAGATGCAACAGTTTTGGGAGAAAGGTGAGCTATCCTCAAACAGACTGAGGAAGAAGGGGGAGCAAATGAGAAAAATAAAAAGTGCCCACATAGCTGGGAAACAAGAAGCAAAATGGAAAGGGCCAGAGCTGGTCTTATGTCACATACACTGTATGAAATCAGCATGTCAGTAAGGAAATCTATAATCAATATCAAACCACAGCAGATAACAGAAGAACAGTTAAATATTGTAACCTTAAGACAAACAAATTATATCCTCTGTATATTACTGTCTTACATATAAAAATAAAATCCTCTGCAAAGTTACAAGTTATTTTTCAAAAATGTTTTTACAGGTTTTTTTCTTAAACACAATATTAAATCTTGAATTAATTGCATTCACTATTAAATATATGATGTATGTTTTTGCTTCATTCTAAATTACTATGCAAGTATTTCTTAAGGCTTTAAAGTCTACTATATAATTCAACTAACAGGATTTAATTACACTGTAATAATGATGTCCTTAGGCTCCTCTGTAAGGAAGAGTTTCCATTGAACTAAGCACAAATATTTTAAGCTCATGCCAAAGGAAGCAATTTTAGCTTCTCTCCCCTGCCAGCCCAGGCTGCCCCGTGTCCAGTGCCTGCACAAGCACTTGGGCAGCTACACGGTGACATGGATTAGAGAGTTGCTCATGGTTAATTTTAACTTCAGAGGCAGGGTGAATGAACCAAGTTTAAGTCTAGATCCCTTTCCCAGTTTTGATGCCTTGCAGACAGACAGACACACACTTTTGCACTGCCACAAGGGAAGGGGCAGGAAGCTCAGGGCAAGGCAGTGAGCACAAGCTCACATTTACAGGACAGGAGGTGAGAGCACTGCTAAATTCTGTTCCCATCTCCGTCACTCACATTTATTTGATCTTGCATTATTTATATCATCTTTGCCTCTCAGTCTATTTCTCTACAAACAATTTAGTAAACCTTGTAACTCCTCAGAGGAAGATAAAATCGCTATAAGCTATCCTCACACTCCTGAAGTGAGCTGTTTGCATGCAAAGTAGTATGGTCACTCAAGTGACAAATGATAACCTACTACTGCAATTAAAAAAAAAAAAAAAACAAACCCACCAACTGTAAATCTGTTCCTGGGATGTTAGAGAGTACAGCATAACATTCAATCAGTAAAGAAAGCTGTTTCAAGGTGGCACCAGTGAATTCATTAATTCTGCAAACCCAGAGAAGAAAAAAAACCAACGAACCACAAAGAGTTACAAAAATAACCAGGCGTGTTACTGAAGGAGGAAGTCAGAGCAGGTGCTAAAGTAGAAGCTCCTGCTCTGGTTCTCTGTTGGGAATGAGACAAGGAAAAAAAAAAGTTTCTGTCTGTCCCGCTTCCTGTGTGCTCCTTTTGCAAAGCATCTTTACTTGGTTTCCGTGCTTTCGACTCTAACATCATACATCCTCCACAGGAATTTCAAATTTGTTCTTCTGCTGGCAACTCAATATAAACCACGTTACATTTGCAAAAGTTTCTAATGTTCAGTACCGTAGTACAGTGAGATATTAAACTTATATAAACTTACTGGTCTTGCAATGACTCTAAATCTGCAGATGACCTCCTGCACTCATCCAGGATTATTAGAATTGAAAGAGAACAGAGCAATACTGATTTTGTATAAATAAAACATCTTATTTAAATTTCCCTAGAAAAACATGTTGGAATTGCAAAGGCAAAATTTGTTTCCCTGTGAGATACTGGCTTGCATTTCCCTTGGTTTGACTGAACTGCAGGAGGTCAATCCTGCACAACTTGCAAGAGAAGAAACAAAGAAATGCAGAAGAACAAACAAGCCACAAGGAGCACAGACACAAATGCAGACAGTCAAAGTATGACCAAAAATATAACTAGGAAGCAGACATGCAGGCTGTAACTGCATCACCCCAAAGTATGGGAAAGAATTCAGCTGGGGATCATCAGCACCAGCAGAGGCAGTATAAGCATTTCATCAAAGCTACTTGCTTTTGCTGAGACCCAAGAGGCAAGTGAAGAGCACTAAATAATAAACTGCTATTACGGTCAGTACTATTGCTTGAACTGAAAGAAGTTAAGAAGTTTTAGCCACGATCTACGGACAGAATATATGGATGAACCCCTCAGCGCTCTCACCTTTCCCAAAAGTGAAAAGAGAATTGAGAACAAACCATGCTTTTATGTAACCAAACCAACATCAGAGAATGCAACAGGACTGTGAGAAGTATTTCCAGTGCCTCCACTATGTTGTGGGTGAGATTTATGTTCTTCCAATAGCTAAGATCAGTCTGTCCCAAAAAACAAAACCAGGCAACCTAACTGAGCGCAAAGGGGAACTGCTAACCAAAATAAAATCACTGTGCTAGACACACGCTGTTGTTTGGGTTTTGTGCATGGGTTTGGTGGGGTTTTTTTGTTTGTTTACAGGGGAGGAAAAGGGGAGGAATTTAAACCTTTTAGGCATATTTTATTTTTATAAGCAAACAAAACAAGACGACTGAAAAACAGTTCATAAATAATGAAGGAGAAACAAAGTGGTGTTTGAAATGCGCAAAAACATCCAGAACCTGGGATTCATAGTAAGTATCCAGGGAAGTTGATTCAAATAGGTATGGTAAGCACAGGAAAGAATATTTTAGAGCATGCAGCTCTGTGCCCAAGGCAAGATTCTCCACAAGTATCTTATATCCTGAAAATTAAAAGAAAACTGAGGCCTTCCAGCCTCATAATCCCCAGTGAGAACAAGTAACATGCCCCTACCATGACACGTCTGCAGGGACAATGACAGGATACTTCCTACTGAACAGGAAAGGAGAATGCTTGCAACAGA